ACTATGTGGTATGTTAAGGTCTCACACCCTTGCCCATTATGTTCTTGATTGTCCGTTGATTAATGTATATAGAAACATTGAGATAAGGACTGTTCCTGAACAAATAGCCTGGATGTGTCACAATGTAAAGGTTGATGATATTCTGGAGAGATATAAGAATTTTGCACCAAGACTGTAATCTTTTGTTGAATTATCTGCAGGTGTCTTGCAAATTGTCTATACAGTATACCTAGGTCATAAAAGTATTTGTGTGTACATCTGATACCATACTACTTGTGTAAAGGAGGAAATGTATATGTTTATCTCTCAGAATGTTCGGTAATATGTTTATTGGTTGTGATGTGTGGCTATGTATGTATTAACACGATGTACTGAACGGGGTGAGAATAGCTTGAGCTACCTCATCCCTTTGTGTGTATTTTACCTTAATAAACTTATTTCAATTTCAACTGTACTAATGGGTTCAAGCTGGTTTTAAATGAATCTCATTTCATTTTAATTGTTTGGCAGAGTTGTTGGCTTTATTGAGGCATTGTTTTCTGGTAACCTTACAGTTATCTTTAAAGATTTCCTGAAGGTCTGGATGTTTTTCCTGTGGGAGGGTACATCTTTATTAGTTCCCTGCACCTCTGTGAAGGGGCCAGGTTCTGACTCTGGTCCATGGTTGGCTAGTTATCTTGAGGATCTTGAGTTGATTTCGGGGCATTAGTGTCCCCGCGGCCCGGTCCTTGACCAGGCCTCCACCCCCAGGAAGCAGCCCGTGACAGCTGACTAACACCCAGGTACCTATTTACTGCTAGGTAACAGGGGCATTCAGGGTGAAAGAAACTTTGCCCATTTGTTTCTGCCTCGTGCGGGAATCGAACCCGCGCCACAGAATTACGAGTCCTGCGCGCTATCCACCAGGCCACGAGGCCCCTGAACAGAACTCCTGCCACTGATTTGACTATTAGAATGGAGCAATCTCAGCAAGATAACTTCAGGGAGCCACCGGGGCTCTACTTGATCGAGGCATTTCATTACATTCAGTGCTGGGTTTTAGATGGAAAAATTCAATTCTCAAAATCCTATTTATTATTTTATTCCTTGAGGCTAAAATTGTTAATGGATTTTAATGAAATTTGGAACAGAATACAAAACTCTGCAGACTTTACAATATTGATAGAGTATATTTTGAGTAACATTTTTGTAAATGAGATATATTTTCTAAGGGAGGTCCTTTGGTGGCTCCCTGAAACATTGTGACTGAGGTAGCTCAGTCACATCAGTCATAGGTATGGTGTTGGGCTGTCCGAGACCAGAACTAGAACCTGGTCTCCTAGATGAGGCACAGTGAGCAGGGGATTGTTACCACAGCCCGCCCGCCCTGTTTTGGTAATACTTATAGTAACGACCAGGACCATACTTATATACCAACATGAAACAAAATTAGAAAGTAGAAATCAGCACTATTGAGTTGGACAAACTGGAAAACTATGTTCTACTTGTGTTGCAAAGACAAACTAAACTAACCTAGCCTAACCTTTCTAGGCCTAATGCATGATATCTGAGGCCTAATATAGTATATATCTAGTCTCACCTCATCTAGTCTCCGTGGTGCAGTGGTAAGACACTCGCTGGCGTTCTGCGAGAGCTTTGTCATGGGTTCGTATCCTGGCCGGGGAGGATTTACTGGGCGCAAATCCTTAACTGTAGCCTCTGTTTAACTCAACAGTAAAATGAGTACTTGGTTGTAACAACGATTCTTCGCGGCAAGGATCGTATTCCAGGGACCTGCCCGAAACGCTACGCGTACTAGTGGCTGTACAAGAATGTAACTCCTCTTGTATATATCTCAAAAAAAAAAAATGTCTGCTATACTAGATCAAGGAATATTTAAGTCTGTTTTTTAGCTTCATTTTTTCTAAAAGAATTCCTTACTAGTCAGTATACTATTATCTAAGAGCTAAGTACTGTACGTACGAGTTCGTGACTATTGACGATCGTCACAATAGGTACTATCTAACCAGGAAGATGGGTTGTGTTACGATTATCCTCACGTGCATAGCAACCAGAAAGTAATTGAGACAATTCAAACAACTGTATGTTTCATAAAAATGAAGTACTGAAACAGCCAACAGACACTGCAAAAAAATCACTCAAAACAAAATGGTTCATTTGAAGATGAGTAAAAAAAAAATCCCCTAGTCCACTGAGCTGCTAACAGGTGGGGTCCCAGCTTCAATATCGGCAACTGCTTCAGTCTTCTTGCTGATGGGAGACTTTCCAGGAAGTAGGAGAGGTGACAGCTACAAAACTGAAGTAACACCATTCTGCGAAACCTGGCCCGGGGTAAAACAAGCTTAAAAGGGACCGGGGGCCAGATTCACAAAGCAGTTGCGCAAGCACTTACGAACCTGGACATCTTTTCTCAATCTTTGGCAGCTTTGTTTACAATAATTAAATAGTTAATGAGCTCTGAAGCACCAGGAGGCTGTTTATAACAATAACAACAGTTGATTGGGAAGTTTTCAAGCTTGTAAACCGTTTAATAAATGTAACCAAAGCCGTCAAAGATTGAGGAAAGATGTACACATTCATAAATACTTGCGTAACTGCTTCGTGAATCTGGCCCCAGGAACATTGATCAGATACCTAACCACCAAGACTGTTAGACCTCCATAAGCCCCGAGCCTGAATATCAGCCCATGACATAATAGCGAAAAGGTGGCCAAAACCACTTATTAACATTGTGGAACTGAGGGTAGATTGCAAGCTGGCTAGCTTTAATGGCACTATGAATGACCTGGAGTGACCTGTAAATGACCTGGAATAACCAAAGAACTAAGAAAACCAGATCGACAATCAGCACGTCCACGGAGGAAGAACTGGTGGCGTGCGAGTAGCAATGAATTGCCGGTACAGGATACAACAGATGATGCATCCCTGGCTGGACAAACCAAGCATTAAGAATTATCAAGGGACTCTTCCAAAAGTCAAGAGTCTCATTTTTTGCAAGAAAAGGAGACAACTGCAGAGAAACTGGTCAACAGGACCAAAAGAACAAAACCCATGCCTTTTGAGGAGAGCATGAAGCCCCCTAACCCAGCAGTCAGATGTGAAAGCCAACAAAAACAAAGCCTCGAGAAAAATTATCCCGACCCAAAGGGGCTACCATGAACTGAGGGGAAGAAACACTGACACCCAATTTAGATGTTAAAATGACTTAACGAAAGCATGAGGAGATCAGAGGTGAAAGTAAGTCTGAGACAACTTGCAAAACAGTTGCCGAGGAAGTATTGGCTCTGACTGTCAATATGAATGACTCCACCAAAGCCAAGCAATAAGAGGCGAGTAAATTAGGTATTAAGTGCCAATCAACAAACACCCAGGACAAGAAGGAAAAAAACATACTGGAACAGATACTAAAGAAATAATGAAGAGGGACAGAGAAGCGAAAACAGCACCAGGACAATTCATGCTGTCGCCACGATGAAAGACCCAAGTGGGACATCAGCAAATCGGCCACCTGTGCACCATACAAATGGTGATAAATTACCTCAGAATCTCTGAGAACATAGATTGGAGGAGAAGGTTGAACCAGCAAGGTGCATAACATGGCTGATCGGCTGAAAGAAGCAGAGCTGCAGAAAAATGGCCGGGTTTGGAACCAAGCCAGAAGGGCTAGAAACCAAGGCTGAGCCAGCCACCTTAGCCAAGTATGCATCTATCCTGGAGAACACCTGGAGCATCAACTGTGGGGAAAGAGTTAAATGAACCTCTTCTCCCCCCCCCCCCATCTTGAACCAGTGTAGCCAAAAGGTATCAACCATTAAAACTTGGCGATCAGAGAATGTATCTACATAGGAAGGAAGCCGCCAGTTTCAAGCCAGCGCAAAGAGCTCCACCTTGAGGAGAGCTAACATTTCATAGAATCAATGAAAAAAAGTATGTGTTATTGACAGCCAAGCCCATGAAAATGGGCTGGAAGTGAAATAAGCCAACCATAAAGATGTAGGCCACACCTCGCATGTGAAATGCTCAGAGAACTAAACCCCGAGAAGCCAGAAGCTGAGCTACCTGAAGATTCCAGTTGCAAAGACGGATGAGCCGAAGTGACACACCCCCCTATGATTTAGTGAATGAACCACCAGGAGGCAGTTGGACTAGAGCCAGAGGATAGGCTCTAGTCCACACCAAACCTACCTGGAGGAAGATCAACCCTCTGTAGGACCTGCTACACTGCCACAAATTCATGTACTCTGCTGTACACCTGATGGAGTGGGCGTGGAAACCGACCCTGGATAGTTTGGTACACACTGATCTCAAAGCCCCAGTCAGGAGCCGAGGTGTTCGTGGATACATCGAGTGAAGCGGAGGATGGCACCATGGAACCGAATTCCCCAAAACCTAAAAAGGATGCTGGTGAAGCAAGAACTTGCAAAGTGCAAGTGAGATCCAAACATGTTGGTCTTTACAGTGGTAAAATTGGCAGAACCTGAAGAAGCATTACAATGCCCAGACTTAAGCCTTGCTGAGAGGAAATGCAGGCAATGTTCAGGCTCTCACATAAATAAACTCTTGGCCAACTTAAGAGTCACCCCAGGGCCAGACAGCGATGTCACTGCAGGTTAAACAGAGCTGAAGGAGGCATGGAAAGAGATGCCCACGAAGCCTCTCAAACTAGACCCAACCAGGTCCAAATCTTAGACGGAACAAACTAGGACTTCTGCCAGTTTACCAGGAACTGAAACACAGCAAGCTGAGAAACGGGTTACAAGTACCCGACTATGTCTTTTAGGGGGTTTCTATTCTCCCTAGTAACAATGCCCTGATTCCTGTGCCTCTTCAAGGGGGGGGCCTGGTTTTGGCTCTAGTCAACAAGACACCCATGACTGATGTAATTTAGTATTAGGAAGCTATCAAAGTGACAGCTTCAGGGTTCTTCAGAAACCCACCAAAGGGCTTCCCCAGAAAACCTTAATACATGAGATATCCTCTAATAGTAATTTATTTTATAGCAAGCAGTAGCAGTAGCAGCAGCTGCAGTTGCAGCTGCTGCAGCTGGATCATCTGGGGTAGCATCTGCTTCATCCACCACAACTATGAGCCAGCACACTCAACCTAATGTTATTATTGTCTCAAATGTAAGCCAGCATGCCCACTTATTCTGTTATTATACCATATCAAGACACCATAAGGTGTATTGTCTTTACATTGTAAATATGGATACATGTGTGATGAACAAATGTGTGCTGGTATAATATATTTATTGCCTGACCAATTCGCCAATCACAACAGTCCTAGAGACAAGAGGCGAACCCAAAACCAGCATCCCAGCAACACCAGAGGGGAGGGCAACCCCACCACCCCCCCTCTGCATAGAAACCCTCCCTTCCCCTCACCCTACCTGCCCCCACCCAACCCTCCCTCCCCCCCCCCCACCCCATTCTTACCCTGTCATCCCTTCCCCATTCCCATCATGTCCCCCCTCCCACCTTTCCCCCCCTGTCCCCCCCTCCTCCTTCATCCCATACCCTCCCTATCCCTCCTCCCCCCCTCACCCCGTATCCTCCATGTCCCCCCTATCTCCTTAACCCACACCCTACCTGTCCCCCCTTCCATGAAACCCCCACCCCTCACCCCAAACTCCCCTGAAACCCTGCAAACCACCTCACAGATCCTCTCACCCACTGAAAAGCTTCCCACACCAGCAGAATGCTCGCCAAGAAAGGGACAAGAAAATGAACTGAAGAAAGTGAGCTTCAAGGCAATGTACACTAACATAGATGGAATTACAAATAAAACAAGTGAACTCGGAGAATGGGCACTAGAAGAAAACCCAGACATAATAGCACTCGCAGAAACAAAGCTAACAAACACCATAACAAATGCAGTGTTTCCACAGGGCTACTATGTAGTGAGGAAAGAGAGAGAAGGGAGAGGAGGAGGTGGTGTAGCTTTGCTACTAAGAGAAGGTTGGAGTTTCGAAGAGATGGTAATTCAGAACTGTGAAGGTTTCAGTGACTACATATCAGGCACCATAGCAACTGGAGGACAGAAAATTATAGTAGTAGTCATATATATCCCCCCACCGAATGTCAGAAGACCCAGACAGGAATATGATAGAAACAACTTGGCCACTGCCTGAGAACCCGTGTGGATCTTGACCTGGTATGTCAACGTCCATTCCAGAATACAATATGTCCATGACCATACCAATTTCAGTCACGTAAAACGAAGAACTTTAATCCAAACCACTGCTGCTTTGATGGTATGCATTGCTTGAATGTCAGTCATCCCTTGAAGAGAACTAGCGATTCATCAATCACGACACATTGTCCTGGTACAAAATAGTCACGCAACAATCCTCTTAATTCGCTAAATATCTTTTGCACTTTCCACAGTCTGTCGTGTCTGTCTTCATTCTCATTCTTTTCAAAGTGCTGGCATCCAAGAAGCAGCAGGAACCTATCACTTGACATGTATCTGTTGACCAAGGGGTTGGAACAAGGCTGTCTTTGTTCCAATAATCTAGGATCACATGCTCTTCTACATGCCTCATCATCATGCACAATGCTAAAAACACTTACATTTCCTCAACAGTTGTGTCTTTCCAATGTCTCATTCAAGAGGCAAGTGAAATTCTAGAGGCAATGAGTTGTAGAACGTATCGGTTCGTCTGCACAGAGATGCTCCATGAATGGATGATCAAAATATGCCATAAAATTATAAATTTTAGCCATATATATTCACAAGTATATGGGAATAACGGTGTCACACCAACATCAGTATTATCAAATGCTGGAATTTTTGGACAAAATTGTCACAATTTCCCCACACAAGTACACCCATGTTTTTGGTTCTGGCGCCAACATCACGGCTTACACTAGCACGAGCACCACCAGCACGGGCACCCACAACACAGCTCTGTAGTCTTGTGCTAGAGTTGAGTATGTCAGGAGATGAGGCTCTTCTGCATAGTATAGGCCTAACATGAACTTGAGCACTTGATGTCGAGGGCTCCTGTCGTCTTTGTCCTCAGGCCCCATAACACACTGGCACTTGTCTCACCGTGTTGCTGGGGCTGTAAAACCCCGCCTAGTAACACCATAGTTGCTTGCACTCGGTTCATCAACACTGCTTGTATCTGAACCTGTGTCACTGAACCTAGAAAAAGTCTCATCACCTATACTATCACTTAGTAGACACACGTCAGATGACACAGATGGTACATCCAGTAGTGTTGACCTAAGGAGGCATGGTAGGCCGGACGAGACGCATGTACTGTACACACACTCTACATCGTCCACCTCAATGTAATTACCTAAGTGTAGTTACAGGATTGGGTGCCAGTTAGCAGTACCCTGCCTGGGATTACCTGAGCGCGAGTCCTATTATATTAAACGCTCGGGACCCTGGGAAACCCCTGGAGGCGTGCGGGTCCGCTGGATGTGACCCCGGAGTCCCCCCTTGCTTCCAGCGAGTTTGAGGGTTGCTCTCACCCCTTGTCTCAGGGTGACTTGCTGTCTTTGCCTCCGTCTGCTGCCTGTGGGGTCGGTGGCACTTTCGTTCCCAATTCCTACAAGTTTTGTTGCTTGTTTGTGACTCGGTTACCCAGCCTTATGTGGACTATGCTGATACAGTCAGCACGGGCGTTGTACGTTGCGTTTAGATGGTGGCAACGCGCTAGGTTATTTGCTCCCCGGAAGCCCTGAGGCTGCCCCGTTTTGGTTGGTGTGATGGGACTAAGGGGGTGTTGGCTGCTTCGGTTTTGTTCCTTCCGCGCCCCCCTTATCTTTCCCCCTGTTGTGGTTTAGTCTGGACCCCCCTTCCTCCCTGCATCCAGATCCTCACCGTCTGTGGGTTCAGGGTCAGGGTGGGGCTTCAGTGGTCTTGAGATTCGGGCAGTCTCAGGGACTTCCCCTTCTGGGGTGGTGACAGAGGCATTGGAGCCTGTTCCTCCAGCCGTGTTGTATGATTCTGCCAGTGGGCTCCCTTCCTTAGTACTTTACCATGTGCCCCGGATTTTGCTTGTGAGGCTGGGGCTTTGGGGGGATGGCTCGGCCTCGGGGCCTGCCGTGTGGATTCCTGGTACTAAAGAGGGGCTGACTTGAGGGGCCTCGGGCCCCGTTGGACCCTGCCGGGGTTTTCTACCCTCTGACCGGGGTTGGTGGTTACATGGAGTGGGTTTTTTCTTTCCCCCCTCTCCGTACGTGTTGTTGGGCGTCGGCCCCTTCCCCGGTTTGGTTCCTTGTCCCTTGGATCCGTCGGTTCCGTCCTGTCGGTGGGTACTTTTCTCCAGTCATTCACCCTTCTTTGGGATGGGCCTTCACCGTCATGTTCCCCTCTTCTCGGGGTTCTCCATGACTTTTGTTCTCGGGTGCGACTGTGCCTTTATGTGCCTTCATGCTTTGTGCTTGCTTCTATATGTTCTCGAAGGTCCTGGAAGGTTTTCGCTTCTTCCCGTATTATTGGAACATATGTCGTCTTCGGGTGTTGCTTCCCTCCGGTCCTGTCTAGGGCTTGTTGGTCCTCTTCCGTGCTTTTTTTTTCAATTTTCGGTCCTGTTTCGTTCTTTTGTGATTGTATCTTCTCTCTCTCCTCTGTCTCGGCACTGCTCGTTTTCTTTCAATATTCCTATTCGGCGCTTTTCCCCTGAGTGGGTTGTGCATTTGGGACCTCCTGTCATGTGCAGGGTTGCCAGATTGGGCTACTTGTGGCCCAAATGACTAGCCGGCTATGTATGTTTTGCTACTTACTACTCTTTTAGGCTGCTGTTCAGATCAGCTGACTGTGTCCTCTGCAAAGGCATTCCATCATTAACGAAAACCATTTGACTCCAGTCAGTACCCCGTAGCTACAGGGGATGTTCTGGATTGCCGCTATGGGGTGAATGCCGGGTTTTCCCTGCATATGGGTGTGGGGCTCCTCCTTCGCCTCTACCCTACTCTTCTCCTGCATGTGTGGCTCTGCCTTCTTCCAATGGCAGTGCTCCCGGAATCTTCTTAGCTACGTTGTGTCTTTACACGTTCATGCCTACGTTCTACAGGTGAGTTTATGGGGTCTAGCGTCTTGTTCGGAGGCGCTGGTTCATGGTTTTTGGATACTAATCTGAGAACATCAGAACACAGATGACTAGAGAAGGCCTATTGGGCCAGACAAAGCAGCTCCTAATTTAACCCATTCAGTCCCACTCGTATGCATGTCCAACCCCATGCTTGAGTCACTCTGGGGGCCCCACCTCCACCAAGTTACGAGGTACGTTGGTGGGGGTGAATGCTATGAGGTAAATGTTACTGTGTCTGGGTGCTATGAGATGACGTTTTGCTGTAGTTTTCATACTGTGGATGCGTGTTGGGGATTGGTTGTGACATTTTGTTTGGCCCTTCCTTGCTTCTTCCTGGGGCTTTCTATGTTCGTCTGTGTTGTTTGTTACAAGGGGGAGTCACGGCCCTGTTTTTCGCGGTCTTATCTTGGTCACTCATTCCTTGCCCGTCTTGCAGTGCCTGGCTTACCCCTTCCATATATATTGGATTCTTACCTGTCAATCGACTGTTGTGCAGGTTCCAGAGCCTATTAGGCTCTATCATATCTACGCTTGACGCTGTGTGTGGTGTCAGCCTCCACCACATCACTTCCTTGTGCATTCCAATTGTCTTCTACTCTGACATTGGAATGCTTTTTTCCGGCGTCTCTATGACTCATTTGGGCACTCATTCCACCTGTGTCCCCTGGTACGTGTGCCCCTTAGGTTCAATAGTCTGTCTTTATCTACCCTTTTGATTCCTGTGAGGATCTTGAATGTGGTGATCATATCCTCATCACTCATACCCCTTGGTTTGGGTCTTGGTCTGGTGGCATATCTTTGCACCTTTTTCCGTTTAGTCTTGTGGTGGACATGCCCAACAACTGTGTGTGTTGTTGATGTGATTTGTTGGGACTTGACCAGCAGCTCTGTGTGTTGTTGGTCGTGTCCTTTTCGTTCCCATTTGCTACCTTCCTTCTTCGTTCCTCAGTGTCCTTCTACCCTCTTGTCCCTAGCTGTTGGTGTTGGGGCTGTTCTTCTGGTCTTTTTCTTGTGTTTTTCCGTTTTTTCTCATTTTCTCCTACACATTGTTGTGTGTTTTGTTTGTGCCTTTGGCTCTCCTATTGCCAGGTTTGGGTTCCTGGTTTTCTGTCTTACCTTACCTGTTGGCGTTTTCATGATTTTGCGGTGTCCCTTCTCTAGCGTCTCGCGTCGGACTCATAGTCTCCGATCTCCTGACGGTCTCGCTGGCATTGGGACGTTTTTCTGTATGGCAGACATTCCATCTCCTCCTTTCCCGGCTTGGGTTTCCGGCTCTGCTTGCCCGGTGGTCGCACTCGAGATCTTCCCGCGACTCCGCCTCTTCCTGGGCTCGATTGGCCCATGTCGGGGCTGGTTCGGTTCTGCCTCGAGTCTCTAACCTTCTGTTGGTGGTCGGGTGGCTTCGTTTATGGTGTCCCACCTGCGTGCTTCTTCTTGGCAGCAGTGTGTTTTTTTTTGGCGGTCCTTCCTTTTCCTTGTCACTTCTCCTTGTCTTGTCTCCACTTCTCTTGTGGAGGTTCAGGGCCGTCATCTTGCCACATACTGTCACCTCATACTGTGCGGCGCTGGCGTAGCCACTTCAGCTTGCTTTCAGTGTTGCTGTAACGTCTGCACCGTTTCGCAAGCTGTCTTGTGCGTTGTTTTACCTCCGGCCTGCTCATGCACCATCTGAGCCGTCCTGGTCATTGGATAGGGTGCTCACTTTTCTTTCTTTCTCTTGGTTTGTTGTGGCCCCTTCGGTTCAGGATTGTTCTCAACGGCTCTTTTCCTGTTGGCATTGGCCTCTGGGGGGTCAGGTCGGTGAGCTTCACGCTCTCCTCTGGCGCAGGGGTTTCTGCTCCTTCGGTCGTGACGATAGATTTGTTCGTCTGCAGCCGTCTCCTTTTCTGGCAAAGAATGAGACTGCTGCTTTCCGGAGGGGTCCTTGGGTTGTTGATGCTTGGTTAGTCAGGCCAGGGTGCTTCATGTTTTGTGTTCGGTTGCGGACCTCTGCCGTTTTTTTGCTCGCCACGGCTTCCGTGTCCGGAGATGCGCTTTGGGTTGTTCCGGTTTCCCTTCTTCCCTGTTCACAGGTGCAGGTCTCCCAGGTAGTCCGCATGGTTATTTAGGCTAGCCAGCCTGCGGTCTATCCCGATGCCCATGACGGTCGTACATTCACTGTTCTTGCTGCCGTCTTTGTCAACGTGTCCTGGGCTGGGCTGGGATTTTGGTGGTCAAAGAAGATCCTGGCTGAGCGGTACCTCGTGACCGTTCCTGGGCCTGGTCGTGCCTGTGTCGCTTTGAGTCAGCGGTTGCAGCAAGTTATCTCCACTTCGAGTTGAGGAGTTAGCGGCGACCGCCTCCCAGGGTATGTCCCTCTATTTTCCTTTGTGGGTAGTTAGCTCTGGGAAGCCAACGGTGACTCCCCCCCAGACAACCAGCATTGAATGTAATGAAACACCATTTGCTGGGTGAGACCTGGAGGCTCCTCAACATCCCTCCCTCCCCCTGGTCGGCGTTTTTTTTGCATGTTTTGACATCCAGCCTCAGAACTAAAGGGTGGATAGCCGGCACGATGGTTTGGGGCTGTGCAAACAGTGGTGCGGGTGACGTTTGACGTCATGTTCGTTTGCTTGTTTCTTTTTGGGAGTTCTATCCACTTGTTCAGCTTTTGGAAGCAATTTTCGCCAGAATTGGGGTTTGTTTTGGGACACTTACCTTCCTGGGTGTCTGACCCGGTCGATGGCAGACATAGAATGCTTCCAATCACATGGGGGTTTCTATAGGCCATTGCTTCCCTTGCGTCATCTGAGGGTTAAAGGTTCTGGCTTGTGGTCCCCGGTAGGCCCACGGAACTCCATACACATGACTGATGCCAAAGTCTGACATTAACATATCGGGCTGGAAAGCTCCGGGGAGCCTCCGGGTCTCACCCAGAAAATGGTGTTTCATTACATTCAGCGCTGGGTTTTTTCACTTCGTCTCTAGACACCTCTATGTGCTTTATGTTGTTCTCTGGAATTCTTATTGTGTTTGGTTCCCTGGTCTCATTTTGTACAAACACACTTTGGCACTTTTTGTTTAATGTTTCACACATTTCATTTTCTGCGTATCTGTCCCCCATTTTCAACCTCTGAATATTATCCTTTACCTGCAGCTTGCTTTTAATGAATTTATAGAAAAGGCCTGGATCTGATTTACATTTGTCTGCTATTCCGTTCTTAAAGTTCCTCTCTGCCTCTCTCCTTACTGTCGTGTAGTTGATTCTCACATCTTTGTATCGCTGGTATGTTTGGGGGTTTGGCCTCTTCCTATAATGATTCCATGCTTGTGTCTTTTGATCTCTGTCCCTCTTTCAATTTCTGTTGAACCAACCCGGTTTCCAATGTCTGCATGTCTGTTTTGGTATGAATGTTTGTGTGCCTTCATCGTATATTTTGCAAAATTTGGCATACATCTTATTTACTTCCTTGCCTAGCAACAAGTCTGTCCAATTATACCCATGAAAAATTTGTCTAAGTTTCCCATAGCTCATAGTGATATGTCTGTATTACTAGTGTCAGATGCCTGTGTTAGTCCTTTGTCCAGACTGTAGTGTTTAACATCTAATATGTTCTTCATCAAACAATATGTCCTACATTTCTACATCTGAGAGTCGTTTCTCAACACCGCGGCCGACCGGAGACCAGGAACTCAATGATGATGTGTTAGACATGGTTGCTACCTTGAAACCGAGGCTTCCCATGGCTGTGGGGCATGCTTTGAATTTTTTCAAAAAGGCGGATGTTCACTGGAGGCCTGAGGCCTCCATCTCATACCTAAGTGACCATGCGCCAGTTTTGAATCCTAGGATATATCTACGATCACCATATGGTGCTCTGCGCACCCTCCATCCAGTGTCTTAAGGTGCCCTGTGCAATGTAGAGGTTAATATTATTGACTGTTGACTTGTAAGGCAAATTGAAACAATATATCTTGGAAATGGGTGTGGCACTGTTCTGAGAATTCTCAGATCCCTACATTTTATTTTATATTAATTAAATAATCCTGTAAATTGTGTGAGAGTTAAACTGTTGAGATTGTGATGTACAGTAGTAAACTAATAATAATATTGACAATTGAAAGCAACACTGTTTTACATGTTTGGTTTAGTTCTTAATAATTTGTAGTTGTTATGCTCATGTTTGTTTATTTTTACTTGTCTGCATCATTTTATTGTTACTTTACTTAGGGTGAGGGAGGCGTGAAGAAGTCTGTGACTGTTGTGACCAAGCCAATTGCCGTGACCTCGGCCTCGACTCTTACCAGTCTCATATCAGCTCAGCCTGTGCAACAAAGTTCAGGTTCGTGTAAAATATTATTCTATTTAACCCTTGTGTTGCCTAGGGCTATTTGGCCTTTGTCACCCACAGGCGCATAAAAAATAATTATTAACCTGTTAATTTGTGTTCCCTGACCACGAGAAAAAAAAAATTAATTGTACTGTCTCCACTCAATCATCCGGACTATATGGGAATAATATAATAAACCCCAGCCGGATAATCACACGTTCTGGATAATGGTACTTTTTCACCTCTTGAGTCCAAAAGTGACCCTTTCCAACTATTTTTATACTACAAACAACATAATTTGAATTGCCTTGCCACATATAATTATTAAATATTCAACTAGAAACATCAACTTACCTTGTTGTTGTTCGTCTTCTTGATTGATGCCACACATCTTGAAGTAAAAAATTCTTGACAATTTACGTAACCTATACTAACACGATACTAAAATTAACACTTAAAAATACTGCACAGTTCATTAAGCAAAGTGAGTTTTGACTGCCAGCTGCTGAAGCCTCACTTGTTGAAGGCGCTTGGCCTGCTTGTGACGCCTTACTTGTTGAAGGCGCTTGGCTTGCCTGTGACCCCTCACTGGTTGAAGGCTTGATTTTCTTACCATATAAGAATCAAGTTTAGCTTGCCTTCTGTGTTCATTGGCCAGTTGTATGATCAGCTTTTGGTTCGCCTCAGGCTTCACTTCACTTGAAGTCGACCGGCCATTTTCAGAGTTGTATAACACGTAACTTGTCTTTAATTATTAGGACAACCTTCTTCCTCTTAACACCTCCAGAACAATTGATGCTGCTACCAGACATAGATAGTCTTGGCCAAAAATGTTCAAAGTTACTATGAAAATAAAATAGTTATTTAAAAAAATATTTCACTAATGGCACAGCACTGTGGTATAACACGAGGTACGGGAGCATATGGGTTGACCAGTATTGGACGGGTCCACTTGGGGCAGCTATAACATAGGCCGCCAGGAGGAAAAAAACTCACAATATTTTTTAAAGAAACTTCAGCCTGTGCAAATTGTTTTTAGAAAACTTATATATTTGTTATTACATAATTACTAGCATTTCTTTTGTTTTTGGCTATGATGAATTGTTCTAAAATTAATGGTAATTCCTGTACCCAGGTGGTCTCTCCCAACACTCCCCTCTCCCCCGACACCACCCACCCACCCACCACACCCCCTCCTACAATTCACTCCTTGTTCGGCTGACTGTTCGGATATTGCAACATCGGCAGCAAGTTAACCGGCCCAGATTTTTTATCCGGACAAATATCTGATTTTCTGGCTCATGTGGACATTTTGGGCGGATATTGAGATAACTTTATCCGGTCACAATTTTGGCCGTATAAGGGCGTTTTCCGGATATACAAATCCTGGATAATCGAGTGGTTACAATACTTACCAATGACGTAAATGAGCCGACAATATGAGCGATGACGTCACACCCTGCATGCTCGCTCATGCAAGGTACGTCCCAAAGGCGTCGCGCGTGGTCTTTAAGCAGCCAGAGTTGCCATGAATTTATTTTTGCAGCATAATTTACAGTGTCTAGGTGTATTTTATCACAATTTTTCTGGGGGGAGCCCCTACAGCTGCTGATTATAAACGAGACAGCAGCCTCAAAACTGCCAAAAGAACTTCTTCAACAATGTAAACAAATGATTGAAAATTCACGAAACTAGCAAGAGCTCGTTCACCCCACCTCCCCCCCTCATTTGTGGGCAAAGAGGGAAGCAGCCTGCATCAGCTGACTGCTGTTCCCTCAGTTATTTGCTGATGGTATTAGTACCTGGTTGCCCTGGTGGTGTCCATTTTTCAGATCAGTGATGTTTTGTGTCTGTGGCTTTTCCTCTGCTCTCTTGTACAGTGTGAACTGTACAAGAGTAACCGAGTTCTTGTACAGTTACAAGAAACTGAGAGCGCTTGGAGCTGCATGTGCACAGGGCTATCTTCTCTCTGTGTTTTTAGTGCTGCCTTTGCTCTGCCACGGTTCTCTTCTCTGGAGTGTTTGGGGATCACTTCCTTAGAGGGAGTGATCCTTAGGATCACTCAGGCTAGGATCACGCCCTTAGAGGGCTTCCTAGCTTGTGATGGTCCTCACCCTGGGTAAGTTGGTTGTTTTTGGCTTTCTTTCTTCCCTGGGGTCGGGAGTGATTTTTGGTTGGTGGGGTGCACTATGGTTTGTGTGACCTTGTTAATGTGCTGAAGTAGGCCTTCACAGCCTCGAGATTGAGCTGTGTTGGGCAACTATTCTTTCCTCACATATATTCTTTGTATTCGTTGTAGTGTCCTGTCTTCTCTTTTAGAATATATGGATAATCTATACATTTATATTCTTTGGTTGGCTCCTTGCTCGCTCCTTTTGGAAAGCCAGCTCAAAGTGTTTGTGCCGGCCCTTTTCCAGGTTGCCCCTCTGATGAGGCGGTGGGGGGAGGCTAGCTGTTTGCAGTAGGGCAGATGTGGTGAGTGTATGAGGATGACTGAGTACTAGGCCAGAATGAGAAAGTGTGAATGAGAAAGACTTCCTGTTTGCTGATGACTGTATGCTAGCACAGACCAAATGATGCAGCAAGAAATGGAATGCTTCTCACAAGCCTATGACATCTTTGGTCTCATCATCAACACCAAAAAAGACTAAAGTCATTTACCAACCTGTGCACGGAATACCTTACCAAAACCACACATTGCTGTCAAGGGGCAGAATCTGCAGGCATTCGACAACTTCAATTATAACGACATCTTCTTATCGACAACTTCGTATGGGCCAATAGGCCTGCTGCAGTTCTCATTACTACTATCCCCTACACCTGACTTTCCTCCTCAGCTCTCTCTTGCCTATTTAATGCCTGTCCCTACCTGTCCTCATCACACTCGACTTGAGAATGGTCCAGGACGGACCGAAACGTCGTCGTCCCTTCCATTTCTAGTGTGTGGTCTGGTCAACATTCGACAACTTCATCCTATCTTGGCACCATACTCACAAGAGTCTTGGCACCATACTCACAAGAGTGGTGAACATATAAGCAAAAGTCAGCAACAGGATCGCCAAGGCCAGCACTGCCTTTGGAAGGTTCCGTGAGAATTTCTGGGAGCGGAGGGGCCTCAGTCTTACCACCAAACTGAAGATCTACCATGCAGTAGTACTCACTACCCTTCTTTATGCCAGTGTGACTTGCCTGTCTACACCAGATACGCAAAACAGCTCAATCCCTTTCACTTGAGCTGAATCTGCACATCAGATGGCAGAACAAAATCCCGGACACCGTGGTCCTGAAAGGGCCAGTATTCCCGGCATCCTCCTATAAAAAACTCAGGCCAAATGGGCAGGCCATGTTGTCAGAATTCCTGACAGCCAATTGCCAAAGCAGCTGCTGTATTGAGAATTATGCCAGGGCATAATTCCATGCCCTGGCATAATTCCCTGCATGCAAGGGCATGCAATCTTTAGGGGGGGGGGCAAAGGAAACGATTTAAAGAATAGACAGATTGCAGAGACCCAGAGGAAATGCGCTATGCACAAAGCTAGAGCAATCTCCACCTCTACACTAGCACCCACCCACATGTGTCCTGGACGAGCTTTCGGGACCCAGATTGGTCTCGTCCTCCATCATCTGACACACAGCCACCAACCTCATCATCATCATGAGGAAAACTGAGCACTAGAACAGACGTAGTGAAGGGAAGGGAACTATCAAGAGAACTGCAAAGTCATTAGGACTATATAGCACTGGGAAGAGATCAGGATAAGGGTTCAGAATGGGACGGGGGAAAGGAATGGTGCCCAACCACTTGGACGGTCGGGGATTGAATGCCGACCTGCATGAAGCGAGACTGTCGCTCTTCTGCTCAGCCCAAGTGGTTGGGCACCAAGCATTTTGTGTATGTATGTGGAAGACTCACACACATACAAGTGTACACATAAATTTACCAAGTGACCAAGTGTTGTATGTATACACTTAGTGAGTGTACCATGAAGACTAGGTACTGGGGCAGATATTTACCTGAATTTACCTGAGGGCCACTAATTTTAGTGGCCTCAATGAGGACAGGAATCCGGCAGCTTGTCAAAGGTCCCCCCATTTGCCCTGATGATATTTTCCAGCTGTATTTTAAAACCCAGCAGAGTTTTGTATTAACGGCTTCAGCGGGTAGGTAGTTCCACGGGTTTACAACCTTATGGGTGAAAAAGTGTCTCCTGTTTTTTCTCCTAGACAGACATAGTGAGTGTATGAGGAAGACTGGGCACTGGGGCAGAAATGGTGAGTGTATGAGGAAGACTGGGCACTGAGGCAGACATAGTGAGTGTATGAGGAAGACTGGACACTGGGGCAGACATAGTGTGTGTATGAGGAAGACTGGGCACTGAGGCAGACATAGTGTGTGTATGAGGAAGACTGGACACTGGGGCAGGCATAGTGAGTGTATGAGGAAGACTGGGCACTGAGGCAGACATAGTGAGTGTATGAGGAAGACTGGGCACTGAGGCAGACATAGTGTGTGTATGAGGAAGACTGGACACTGGGGCAGACATAGTGTGTGTATGAGGAAGACTGGGCACTGAGGCAGACATAGTGTGTGTATGAGGAAGACTGGGCACTGGGGCAGACATAGTGTGTGTATGAGGAAGACTGGGTACTGAGGCAGACATAGTGAGTGTATGAGGAAGACTGGACACTGGGGCAGACATAGTGAGTGTATGAGGAAGACTGGACACTGGGGCAGACATAGTGAGTGAGAGTATGAGGAGGTGAGGAGTAAGCATACATGAGAACTCATGAGGAGTACTGTATATGTTGGGTAATGATGGAGTGCTGCTGTGGAGGACTGCTGGAGTGTGTTAGGCTTAGTCACCATACATCATGTGTCATGGGGTAACTTATCCAGAAATGATAAGTATAATGTTTTCATTCCATTAAATGAATATTTCTTATACGTACTGCTCCCTATTTTATTTTGTGTTCTTCCGGGCCCACCAAATTGGCTTTCTGGGTAATGATGAGGGTTTTGTAATAAAATGAATTGTGGACATTAAACAGTCATAATTACTATGTGAAAGGAAATATCAATAATCAATTTCATTCATTTCGGTCAAATTATGCACCCCGTACCCATCCTCGGTAATCATCAATAATCAGTTCGTTATATCTTTGTTCTTACAAACATAACTTCCATTGGTTGACAGGTGGACAACACCAGGTGGTAGTTGCAAGAAGTGCTGATATCACCAATTTACTGGCTGGTAGAGGGGGGACTACCTCGGCAGGAATGGCCAGCATGACCGGAGGCATCGGTGGTGCCACCAAACTGGCAGTAGCTGTTACAACAGGTTGGTTCCACACTCAATTTATCAACTTTGTAACACATTTGTATTTTTTTTGTTTTTGTTCATGGTCAGGAGCCTGACAGCTGAGTGGACAGCGCTTCAGATTCGTAGTTCTAAGGTTCCGGGTTCAATTCCTGGTGGAGACGAAAACAAATGGGCAGATTTTCTTTCACCCTGATGCTCCTGTTCATCTAGCAGTAAATAGGTACCTGGGAGTTAGACAGCTGCTATGGGCTGCTTTTTGGGGGTGTGTAACAAAATGGAGGCCTGGTTGAGGACCAGGCCGCATGGACACTAAGCCCCGAAATCATCTCAAGATAACCTCAAGATGGGAGTAAGTGATGTTTCATAGTTGCCTATGCCTCCAAAGTATAGAAAATGGGTATTTAGTATTCCCCACAGACTTTGCTTTTGTGACCAGAACCTGGCTTGAAATATGATGAGTGTAGCTGAGAAGTCATCGCACACTTCAAAATGGTGGCATTCATAATGGATCTCTAAGACGTACTATTACAGGTGGGACTGTCCACAGCAGACCAAGTTTTCTGTGGGCATGAACAACATCAAGTGGGAACCACTTAGTTGGTTGGAACAAGTTAGGTGAGAAGGTGGTGGAGGCCAGGACCGTCAGTAGTTTCAAAACGTTATATGACAAAGAGTGCTGGGAAGACGGGACACCACAAGCGTAGCTCTCATCCTGTAACTACACTTAGGTAATTACTAGTGGACCCTAAAAGGTGGCAATGCCACCATTGCACATCAAATAAGGCCTTATGATACAATTTGTCACAGCTCTAGATTTGACATCGGCGGCCTTCAAGTGCCTTCAAGACGTCTTCCCTAAGCCGTCTTAAGGCAAAGGTCAAGCAAATTTTGAGGGGAATAATGGCCAGTGGCGGCTTGTGGAAAAATATATTGCAGGGACTGCATCTTCTTGAGGTTATCTTGAGATAACCACCACGGTACAGTACACCGTAGTACACCACGGAGACTTTACAGTCTCCGTGGTGTAGTGGTAAGACACTCGCCTGGCGTTCCGCGAGCGTTATGTCATGGGTTCGTATCCTGGCCAGGGAGGATTTACTGGGCGCAATTCCTTAACTGTAGCCTCTGTTTAACGCAACAGTAAAATGTGTACTTGGATGAAAAAACGATTCTTCGCGGCAGGGGATCGTATTCCAGGGACCATAGGATTAAGGACTTGCCCGAAACGCTACGCGTACTAGTGGCTGTACAAGAATGTAACAACTCTTGTATATATCTCAAAAAAAAAAAAAGAGGATTTCGGGCTTAGTGTCCCCGTGGCCTGGTCCTCAACCAGGCCTCCACCCCCAGGAAGCAGCCTGTGACAGCTGACTAACACCCAGGTACCTATTTTATTGCTTGGTAACAGGAGCATCAGGGTGAAAGAAACTCTGCCCATTGTTTCTTGCCGGCGCCCAGGATCAAGCCCAGGACCACAGGATCACTCGTCCAGTGTTGTGTCCGCTCAGCCGTTGGCTCCCTTGCATCACTGCAAGCTTCACACAAAATAATAATAATAATAATAATAATTAAAAGAAAAATAATTAAATGAGAGACAATAAACACGCTTTATACGTACTGTAGGCCCGTAGGGGTCGTCATTGTCAGGTTGGTGGGGGGTATGGATGGCTGAGGTGGTGACATTATTATTACAGTACTTGAAAATGGTGTACTACTTGTTCAATAAAATCCATCATTTCTGTTATCATGATGTCAATCGATATTATTGCTAGAACAGACTATCTCTCATTCACCAAGGTACTACTGGCCAGAAAGTTTTCATTCTCTTCAAAGTTGGAAAGCACCTTTCTGCTTCTGCTGTTGTTATTGGAGTTGTTATTAACAGTTTCAGAAGTGTCACAGTTTCCAAAGATGTTGACTGTAAATGAGTGTCGTTCATAATCTCCAATAGGTTAATGAGGGCTTCCTGAATTCATAAATGTTATCTTGGGTACAGTTCAAACTGTAGTGGTATGTGTAGACACAATGTTAAGCTGGCAAGAATATTCTTTGCTCCTGCTTGTACTTCTCTGTAGACTGGATAAAAGTAGTATATGTCTTCCTTTTCCTTTTTTGTCTGTCTTTTCATTTAATGTAAACTGCAAAAAGTTGTTACTTTGTAAATACTTTGCTGAGTTCATTCTACTTTCCATTGTCATTGTTGATGAAAGGATAATTAAGCCACTAAAGTATTCAAAGCAACTTAAGCACCACTAACAACACGTGCCACCACCCTCACTCAACGTGCACACTAAACAACCACCACTAACAACACGTGCCACCACCCTCACTCAACGTGCACACTAAACAACCACCACTAACAACACGTGACACCACCCTCACTCAACGTGCACACTAAACAAGCACCACTAACAACACGTGACACCATCTTCACTCAACGTGCACACTAAACAACCACCACTAACAACACGTGACACCACCCTCACTCAACGTGCACACTAAACAAGGCCCACTAACAACACGTGCCACCACCCTCACTCAACGTGCACACTAAACAACCACCACTAACAACACGTGCCACCACCCTCACTCAACGTGCACACTAAACAACCACCACTAACAACACGTGCCACCACCCTCACTCAACGTGCACACTAAACAACCACCACTAACAACACGTGACACCACCCTCACTCAACGTGCACACTAAACAACCACCACTAACAACACGTGACACCATCTTCACTCAACGTGCACACTAAACAACCACCACTAACAACACGTGACACCACCCTCACTCAACGTGCACACTAAACAAGGCCCACTAACAACACGTGCCACCACCCTCACTCAACGTGCACACTAAACAACCACCACTAACAACACGTGACACCACCCTCACTCAACGTGCACACTAAACAAGGCCCACTAACAACACGTGCCACCACCCTCACTCAACGTGCACACTAAACAACCACCACTAACAACATGTGACACCACCCTCACTCAACGTGCACACTAAACAACCACCACTAACAACACGTGACACCACCCTCACTCAACGTGCACACTAAACAAGGCCCACTAACAACACGTGCCACCACCCTCACTCAACGTGCACACTAAACAACCACCACTAACAACACGTGACACCATCCTCACTCAACGTGCACACTAAAGGCCCACCACTAGCAACACGTGCCACCACCCTCACTCAACGTGCACACTAAACAAGCACCACTAACAACACGTGCCACCACCCTCACTCAACGTGCACACTAAACAAGCACCACTAGCAACACGTGCCACCACCCTCACTCAACGTGCACACTAAACAACCACCACTAGCAACACGTGACACCATCCTCACTCAACGTGCACACTAAACAACCACCACTAGCAACACGTGACACCACCCTCACTCAACGTGCACACTAAACAAGCACCACTAGCAACACGTGACACCACCCTCACTCAACGTGCACACTAAACACGGGATGACAGAGTGACTGGGCTGGACTGAATGCAGCTCAGTGTTGCCGGATGTAACGCCAATAAATCCTATACACGTACTGTACTATTGTGCAGCTTGAACCCTCTATTTCCGAGAGGAGCCTCATCGGCTCCCTGAAGCTATCCAGATTTATGTGCTATGTTAGTTTCGGGACATCAGTTACGGGAGTTTTATTGCCTACCGGAGACGACGAGCCAGAACCTGGTCCCTTTACAAGGAGCAAGGCCATATAAGCACTCTATATTTCGAGTATGTCATGTCTGCCATCAACCGGGGAAGGCACCCAGAAAGGTAGGCGAATTATTACAGACCCTCCTCTGGTAAAAACTGCAACCTAGGTCCGAACATAACCAAAGCCCCTCCGACATCTGCCCATCCCCCCAATCCCCCCAAAATTCCCTCTTAGTCACCCCATCTCCCAATCACCCTATCCCCCCCATCCCTCCAATCCCCTCCATCCTCCCGAGAAAACAAACAATCAAATCGTCATCCAACTAGCAGACTCACTTGTTTGCGGCCCCCTACCCCAATGGGGGGGGGAGAGGGGGAGCCTGCTCAGGCAAACGGGCAGCTCACACCTCCAGTTCTTGACTGATGTGCATTGGGGGGCACACATTACCTCTGGCCTCGCTTGCCTATCTGGAATTTTGTCCTGTGTGGCTGTGTCAGCTGTGTGGGGTGGTTGTGTTGACCAGGTGTTCTTCTGTAGGCAGGGCAGCATGCATCTTGGGCTCACATCCCTAGATGCCCCCTGTAAGTACTACCTTTGCGTGTTCAGGGTTCTCTTCCCTGAGACGTTCGGGACTCACTCCCACACGAGTCTCCGTCACTTGGCATTGGCCTCGCCCTTGGGGTTGGGTAGGGGTTTGTGGGGATTTCCATCTAGCCCTTGGGTAGGGAGTGATTATTGCTGGGTGGGGCGCACTGTGGTCAAGCGCAGCCTTCACACACTCAGCAGATGAATCTCTCTCTGACTGCCAGTTTATTTGTTAATGGATTCATGTTTTTTTTTCGCTTTTATTTCTAGCCCTTTCATATGAAGGAAGTCTTCCTAGCTTCACATAAGGTTCGCTTATGTTATGTTTGGTAGTTTTCTCTTGTGCCCTTGAGGTTTCATGACTACCCCTGGTAGTCAGTTTGCCTGGTAATAGACAGGGTTCAACTGGATTAGCTAGTCCTTAGCTTAGCTAGGGGGCCTGACAGCTGAGTGGACAGCGCTTCGAATTTGTAACCCGGAACTGTCATCAAATCCGAACAAAGATCAAACCCGGAACTGAGGTTCCGGGTTTGATCCCCGGTGGAGGCGGAAACAAATGGGCAGAGTTTCTTTCACACTGATGCCCCTGTTACCTAGCAGTAAATAGGTACCTGGGAGTTAGACAGATGCTACGGGCTGCTTCCTGGGGGTGTGTAACAAAAAGGTTCCCTGTAGGGATTATCCCCCCACCCCCTCTGTAGACCCTGGAAAATTCCTTAGGGCTCAACGCGACCATGAGTATGTCTT